TAATAACCAAATTCAACCATGTAGCAGGATAAAATATCAACACATAAAAATCAATAGCATTTCTGTATACAAATAATGAGCTCATCAACAAAGAAATTAAGAAACAACTTAACTTACAATAAATCAAGAAAAATTAAAAACTTAGGAATTAAGAAAGTAAAAGACCTCTACAACAAAAACTACAGTACTCTGAAAAAGGAGACTGAAGAGGATATCAGAAAATGGGAAGATATCTCCTGTTCTTGGACACGCATAACCAGTATTGTCAAAATGGTCACACAAGGTAAGCAGACAGATTTAATGCAATCTCAATCTAAATATCAACAGCATTCCTCAAAGAACTGGAAAAAACAATCCTAAAATTCATATGGAACCAGGAGACCCAGAATAGTAAGAGAAATCCTGAGTAACAAGAGCAAAGCAAGACATATAACAATCCTGTAATTCAAGTTACATTACAAAGCTACAATGATAAAAAAACCATCATGGTACTAGCATGAAAAACCAGATATGTGGATCAGTGGAACAGAATAGAGGGCACAGAAACAATCACAGACACATTAGCCACCTGATATTTGATAAAAAGGCCACATTACTCTGGAAAAGAGATAGATCCTTTAGCAAATGCTGCTGGGAAAACTGGCCATCCACATGTAGAAGATTGAAGTTAGACCCATATCTCTCAACATGTACTGAAATAAAATTAAAATAGGTAAAATATTTAAATATTAAAATAGTAAAACTTAACCTGCTGGAAGATAAAGTAGGTAAAACTCTTGAAGTAACAGGTGTAGACAAGGACTTTCTGAACAGAACTTCAATGGCACATGAAATAACATTGAACCAGTAAATGGGATCATATCAAATTAAAAAGCCTCTACATAGCAAAGGAAACAACCAACAGAGTGAAGAGACAAACTACAGAATGTGAAAAAAAATTTTCAGCTACACCTCAGACAGAGGACTAATATTTAGACCATACAAAGTTCTCAAAAAAATTAGACCCCCCAAAACAAAACATCAAATAAAAAAATGTCAGTGAAATGAATCGACAGTTCTCAGAAGAAGTAAAAATAGCCAACAAATACATGAAAAAACACTCAACATCACTAGCCATTAGAGAAATGCAAATTAACATAACACTGAGATTTCATCTTCTTCCAGAAAAAATGGCTATCATCAAGAAATCAAATGTTAACTAATGCTGGTAAGGTTGTGGTGCAAAAGGAACCTACCTACATTGTTGGTAGGAACATAAACTAATACAATTATGGAAATCAATATACACACTTCTTTAAAAAGCTAATCTTAAATATTCCCCTACTGGGCATCTTCCTGAAAGAGTTAAAGACATCATATTGCAATGATACATGCATGTCCCTGATTATAGCAGCACAATTCATGATGGATACATCTTGGAAGCAGGCCATGTCCATTAACAGACAAATGGATAAAGAAAATGTGGTCTTAATACATAATGGAATACTACTCTGCTATAAAGAAGGATAATTTTGAATCATTTTTAGGAAAATGGATGCACCTTGAAAACATAACATCATGTGAAAGAAATCAAATACATAAACTTAAATACTGTGTGGCTTCTTTCATATGAGAAAACCAAAGTATAAATAAAGTGAAGAGCAAAAAAAAAAAAAGATAGATACAAGGAAACAGATCTTTTGCAAATGGGAAGGGGACCAGGAAATGCAGGGAAAGAGGGTCAGGCAAAGAGATGTAAAAAAGAATAAAGATGTGTAATTTACATGTATCAAATATCCACCAGGAAAGTAGTCATTATGTATCACAAATATGTACTAATAAATGAAAAAAAAAATAAAATTAGGGCCAGGAAGGACCTTGACAGAACTTTGAGGGCTCTAACATTTTAGTTTCATTAGTTTTATGGGAAATGTGCCTCTGGTTATAAAAATAAAATACTTTTTTGTAATTCCTTCATCATTAAATTATAGGTGGCATGTTTAGTACTTTTATTATGTATAAAATTAAATGTTCAAAAGAATTTTAAAGTAGAAGCACTGTTTTTCATCAGTGATGCGGAGGGACAAGATGATGCAGAGGGACAAGATCAATTCCAGAGGTATCCCCCTGGGAAGACTAAAAGTCCTGAACAGATCTGCATGACTACCTGTGTGTGGGAACAAAAGGTGGCCTTAGAGACCCTGTTTCCTAATCATTAAAGCCTGAATTCTAGTTCACCCCACTTTGTATCTCATAGAGCACAAGCTAACTGATTACTTTTGTCTAGGGTAAGTGTTATTTGCCAGTGAGTTTTCTCCAGACACCATGGAACCGTGGCCACTCACTTGGCCTTACTGGCAGATGGACATAGATAGAATACTATTCTGCTATAAAGAAGGATAGTTTTGAGTCACATTGTGGCTTGTGTGTAGTTGTCCCCCCAAAGCCTCATGCAGTCATAGATGGGGCTTTTCAGAGGTGGCTAGAGTGTGTGATGCTGTAATTAAGGATGTGATGCTGGGATTGATTCACAGTACGATGCTAGGGTGAAGGGTGTCCCACCCTGGGTGTGAGTGCTGCTAAGCCTAAGGACAGGTACCTCGGATAGAATATAAAGAGACAGAAAGAGGGTTGCTGTTATCACTTGCTGCTTTCCTGCTTTCTGCCCACCATGAACGGTTTCTCCTCTGCAATGCCCCTCTGCCATGCCACCCTGTCTGGAGCCAGCCAACTATAAACTGAAACCTCTACAAACTGTGAGCTAAATAAACCTTTCTTCCTTTAACTTTGGGTGTTGAGTATTTTGTCTCAGGAATGAGTAAGGTAACCCAGACAAGACATTTGTGAGAAAAAGGGTACACCTTGAAAATATAATGTTAAGTGAGATAAATCAGACACAAGAGCTTAAATACCATATGGTTTCTCTCATATGAGAGAAGCAGTGTATAGGATAATCAATCTGCCTTGGACTCAAAGCCCTAGTTATATGCCCAGGCCACAAGCTGACTTTGCACTGCTGGAACCAAACAAAATAGATTTCAAAATAGATTTCTCCCACCCCACCCCAGCTGACATGTGATTCACTTACAGGTGAGGTGAGGGGACACAGTGTCCAGAGCTAAGAAGCCCACAGCTTCGGGGCCCTGTGGAAAGAGGGGGACCTGGTAGGACACGGCAAAGAAAGGATCAGCACAGGCTGTCTACAGGATTTGGCAGCTTCACTCTCTGTATGTGGATGTGGACTGGTGCTCAGGATTCAGGCACAGGATCTGAAAGTTTCTGGAATGTAAGCCATGGCTGGATCAAGACTTTTTCTAACACTGGTGAATTCTCCGTCATAGAAGCACCCAACCCTCTCCAAGTCTGAGGGCAGCAGAAGCTCAGCATACCTCAGATAACAAGGAGCGGGGTAGGATGAGGTAGAGGTTTGCTTTAGGTTCTTATCAAGTCAGCCATTCACTGGAGCCACTCTCCTAGGCTGAACATCAGCACTTCATCCAGTTATTTGTTAAAAATCCACACTATATTGCTTCTTCCCACTTTCAGTTCTCATAGGTGGCTTTCTTATTGCTCCAAAGAAATAGGCCTGTTCTACCTGAAACCACGCCAGCTCAAGCACCTGTAACCCTGCTGAACCATCCTTTGTATCATTTAGCTTTGTGTTGCTGTGACAAAAAAGCCAAAAAAACAAAAAACCCTGGAAATATGAGCTTTAAGGACGAAAGACTTATTTTAGCTCAATGTTTTGCAGGTTGGCTGGCTCCACTGTCTCTAGGCCTGTAGTGAGGAAGAACATCATTAACGAAGGGTATGTGGAGCAAAGCGGCTCACCTCATGGCACCAGGAAGCAGAAGGAGGAAAAGAGAACCACAGAACCAGAGAGGAAGGGACTGGGAACAAAGCTTACCCTTCAGAGCCATGCCTCCCGGTGTCCTGCGTCATCCAAGTAGGCTCCACCTTGTAACGAGTTCTTGGAGCTAAGAACTCATAGATGGCTTAATCCACTTGACAAAGTTGGAGTCCTCATGATCCAGTCGGTTGCCCAAAAGCTTATCAACTGGCAGCCAAACCTTAAAACCAGCGAATCTTTGGAGAGGAATATTTTGGATTCCAACTACAACACCAGAGTCCCCAGACCCACATCCCAGAGTCACATAAATAACCTGACATGCTTGTTTGGGGGAACTCCGAATCTCACTCTGCCCATCCAAGGCTTCCTCCCTGCCCCACCCAGCCTCCTGGATCCCAACCTCAACACCTTCCCTCCCTGCCTCCCCTCTTTCTCTCCCCCCTGTGTGTCCTGGGAGGTGGTGCTGGTTATGAAATTCAGGGCCCGGTGCATGCTAAGTAAGTGCTGTCCTACAGACCTACATCTCCATAGCCCTGGTGTTTTGATCACTTGCAAAAGTGGGCAAATTTAAGATACCTTAAGTGTTGCATTCACACCGTTAGGGAGGCGCCTTCCTCACTTTCACAGGGGAAACCAGAGGGAAGGGACTGTCTGGAAGCTGGGAATCCTACCTGTTATCAGTCAAGATAATGGTAATATTGTATGGTGGACCAAAGTGAGACTCTGAATCTTCCTGGTTTTTATTATTATTACTGTAAGTTGATACATATTAATTGCGGGTATTTATTGGGTACAACGAGCTCTTTGGGTACATGGCTTTCGTTTTTCTTTCTAGCAGTTTACTCACTACTTTGTCTGCCTTCCCCATCTGTTAAATGGGTTGTAAGACTGGACAAGAATCACACCTGAAGCCCTTACCACAGTGCCTGGTACTTGGAAAGCACTGTGTTTTGATTTGCTCCACGGCGAGGATTAACTGGGGAGCTGGTGGAAGACACTCCAATCTGTTCCCCTTCCTCTAGGCTCTGTAGTGCACTAGGAAGACTGATCGGAAGATATCATCCACAAGACCGAGGAGTGGTGGCTCTGGGGAGGGACTCTGAGGTCCTAGGTCACCTCTCAGCAAGGGCTCCTGTCCTTCCCAAGCCTGGGCGGTGAGGGCGGTGGAGCTGCGGGTGGGGGCGGGGGCCGTGCGCTCCACCCGGCTGGCGCGTCTGTGGGCAAGCGGGCGGGGCCGGCCATATAGCGTCTCGCCCGCCCAAGGCGCTAGTGCGCGGGGCAGTGCGCAGCGGGCGGGCGGGGACAGAGGCCCGAGAGACGCAGCGGCAGGCACCCCAGCGGCCTGGAGCAGGGCGAGCACCATGAGCTACAAATGCGACGTGGTCGTGGTGGGGGGCGGCATCTCAGGTCAGTGGCGGCTGCGTGCTGTCTTCCCTCCTCGCCGCACTCGGACAGGTGGCGGCCGAGGGAGGCGCGCGGGGCGGCCGCAGGGCTGAGGCTGACCCCGGAGCCGCACATTCTCGGCGCACTGGCGGGGATCCAGCGGCGCCCACGCGCCGCACGGCGAACTCGCCCGGGGGCGGGGGGATTTAGAGCGCCCCTGCACAGAAGCCTGAGGACTGGAGGCTGGTTGAAGCTCTGGGGCTAAACTTTGAATTTCTCTCCCAGAAGGCTGCCAGGCCTGCGCTTGCTGGAATTTATGCAGTAAGGGAAACGGAGACAGGCAGGAGACACCTGTTGGGGACTGCTGCAAAGATAGTCCTTCGCTTCAATCTGACCTAGACACTCTCCCTCACTTGGGGCAGGCAGGCACATATTGCTGCTCTGGTGTCGTGAAAATGGCTTTGAACAGGAGGAAGCGGTTGAACCCAGGTGGATCGATTACCAGAACCCTTCCAGCCTCCGTGGGTTCTCTCTGGTTCCCTGATTGTCACGGGCCTACCCGAGCCTGTAGGGCCTTCTTGGCAAGCGCCTCTTCTCTTATCCACCCTCCTTTGCCCTGTTTCCCCTCCCCCCCGAAAGCACAGGGTGGCCAGGCTACAACTAGGCTCTCTGGTACAGCCCATATTTGGCAAGAAAGGGGACAGACTTTGCTCCTTCAGCAAGGGAAGGGGCCAGTGGGTTCAAGAGGGGCCCTGAAAGTCGGAAAGGAGAAAGAGAGTCAGTGGGGGAACTTGCCCTCTAAAGAGGATCAGGCAGATTATACTGGGGTGGAAGGCCCAGAAGGAATAAGGTGGGCTCCCAGCATAGCCCATTTAGCAGATCCCTGGGGGTGCTTTGGCCCTCCTGGTAATTGAGAAGTAATTCAGCCACCTTCCAAACCCAGAAATGTGTGGTCTAAGACTCATCCACACCCAATTTAAAGCAGCCTCCACCAGGAGCAGGCGCCGGCCTTGCTCCCTGTGAGCAGGGCAGGACAGAGGTGGACATCCTGTGCGAGGAGGGGAATCCCAGGGTTGGATGCTGGGAGCTGCCCCTGGTCCTGTGCTACTGCCTTCCCTCCAGCCCACCTTGCCTTTGGGTCAGAGCTCCAGCTACTACCTCTGTCCAGCAGCCCTGGTGAGCTCGCCTATGCTGGGTGTCTGTCCTGGGGCATGGATGCATAAGCACAGCCCGCTGAGGTTCACCAAGGCTGTATAGAGAGTCAGTTTAAAATATATATATATATTTTTGACATCTTTTTTCCCAAAGGAGCTTGGACTTAAAAGCATACATACCGAGATGTTTTAGAAAGTATTACTAAGCGGGTCTTGACACTGTTTTTGCTGAGCACCTCCATGTATGAAAACTGAAAGCTTTCTTTTCCTAAAGTTCTTTTCTTACCCCAAGTATGCCTCATGGGTTCAGATTCTTTTACTTCTCTCCCATTATGTTGTATTTTTGATTGATACATTAAGCCTTCCAGCTCACTCAAATTATTTGTGTTAGACTTATGCAGAAGAGGGATATAAGGGTTTAGCTGTTTTTACAAGGAGTGGTGAAGCTTCTGCTTTCACTCCCCAAATCTGTTCAGAACAATAGACTGATGGGTAAACCTGCCTTTCTTGATAGCATTGCATGGAATGGGCGTTGTTCTAAGAACCAAGAAAGCAGGGTTTCAAGGTTCAGCCATTCTCCATTGTGTCATCTACAAGGAGATGACACCATTAGTTATAGCTAGATTACAAGAGGGCATGCAAGACAGTGTGTGTGCAATAGCTTTGCAAAGTCTAAAATATTGGCATGGGGGGCTGGGGATGTAGCTCAGTGGTAGAGCACTTGCTTAGTATGTGGGAGGCATTTGTTCCATCCCTGGAACTGCAAAGAAAAAAAACCCAAATGTATATAAATGCTATCTGGGCATTTTACACATTGGGGATATAGTGAAGTGGGAGAGCACTGGGTTTTATTCCCAACACTGAAAAAGATAAAAAAAAAAATCAACTATGGCACAGGGTCCTATAACAGTTTTACTCATTTATTTAAACAGTAGGCTTCATGGAAGACTGTGGTAGGGGATTAAAAAACAGACAAGGTTGTCCTTGTCCTGGAAGACTTGTCAGCCCAAGAAGGGAGCTGGATACCCAAACAAGGCCAATGCAGGTATTACAGTTAGAAAAGAGAACTGACTTCAGGTGTTCTACTCCTGCACAGTAACAGTGACTATAGATGATGATAATGTACTGTATATTTAAAAAAACTAGAAGAAAGGATTTGAATATTTTTACCATGAAGAAATGATAAATGTTTGGAGAAATAGATATGCTTACTGTGGTTTGGACATTACAAAGTGTATACCTGTATCAAAGCATAATTACCTGATAATTATGCACAATTTTATGTGTCAATGAAAAATAACAACAAAAAGACGATACAGGGTAGAACAAGGTGGTGTATGCCACAGGAGGGGTCTCTTCATTATTTATTCATTCAGTGAACACTTACTCCCTGTCCCACATCCTGCCCCAAAAGGAATAAAAGATGAATTATATAGGGCCATTGCTCTTGGGACCCTCACAAATGATAATGGGAGACAGAATCATGAGCAATTAATAACGAATGGCCTATTATAGGTGCTTCAGTAGCACTTGTAAAATGTTCTGGGGAAGGTGATTGGAGAGAATATAAAACTCTGAGAAAATCTAGGAAGTCTTCACAGAAAAAGTGGCAGTGAATTGAATCTGAAAGATTAAAAATGAATTCACTAAGAGACTAGATAACAAAAGCATTTTAAGCTAAACAATTTGTATATAATCATAGATATGTGGAAGAACATGATAGCATGTTAGGAAACCTTAAGAATTTCAGTGTTGAAAGTTGGGAGGGGTCTGGTGGGAGACAAAATTAAAAAGGCCAATTGGGATGAATTGAGGGGAGGCTTGTACGTCATCCCAAATGTTTGACTTCTTTCATGTTCAATAAGTGGTGCTGGAAATGCTTCATTGACAAACTTATGTGCATGAAATGGCTGGGTACATGGAAATGGTGTTAGTAAAAAGGGAAGTAAAGAGAGAGGGTAGGTTTGGGGAAAAGACAGGACATCTGGAGTTGGAGGTGCTGGGAAGACAGCTGGGAAGAGAACTCGAGCAGTTGAGAATGTGGGGAGGCAATTGGAGTCACAGAGGGGTATGACAGAGAAGTTTTAGCTGAAGCCCCTGCATGGGATGAAATGACCAAAACCAAAACTGTAGAGCGTAGAATTTTAGAATCCATAAGTGCTTGACACAATGGTTTATGTTTAAAAGTCTTTGGATTCCACCCTAGTTTTAAAACTTTGTTAATGGTTAAGCTTGGGACATCCTGGTAATTATCTGATAATTTAAAAGCTGCCAGCATATTTTAATCACTCCCTTTGGGATAAAGAGATACACTGGGAGTATAGCTGGTTAATGTACAATTTTCTTTTTTGATGTTTAGAAAATTCCCAGGCAGTTGTAGAAGAGCATTTCAGTATTGTGTGTGGTATATAAATAAATCCCTACTGAAAGCTATCCAAGGGACAGGCCATTTCCTGAGATTGGTAGAACAAACAGTGCTTCTCACATGTAGCTGGCCAGCACCCTGCTGCCTCCGTCCCCAGTCTCAATTTTTGTGTTTGGGTTGGTGGAACCATAGGAACTATCTTTTGCGACTCTGGAATGGATCTTGCTCAGTCATCAAAATACAAAGCTGAAAAAGGGCAACACGAAACAGAAAGTTTTTGCAGGGCTTGGGAGAAGTGATTCAGTCACTTGAGGGATGCAAGCACTAAGTTTGAGGTCCGTGTCACAACCAGGCTTCCAAATTGTAACCAACATCTGGCATGTGACGTGTGGACAGGAGAGCAAGCCTGGCTGCTGGCTGTTGGGACTGGTCTGGACAGGGAGCGTCAGAGACAGCTCATGAAGGGTCATGGAGTTGAAGGGTGCTCTGGGCAGATGTGGTCCCAGGTATTGATGGCCAAGCCTCCTCCTCACCTTTGGTAAAGAAGCATAGAGAACTTCTCTGGACCCCTTTCACTCACTTCAGTGTTCTAAAAAAACAGGAACTATGTAGCTATGCTTGGAATTTTGTATATCCCAGTCAAGGAGAGAACAGAGAAGCAACTTGGCAGTATTAAAGCAGCACAGGCTTTAGTGGCAGCCTGGCTGTGAATCCCCTTTCCTACACTTTACTATTGTATAACTAACCTGGTATATTACATAACCTCCCTGTTCTTCAGCTCATTGCTTTTCTTCCCCCACTAGATGGTTTAATGATTGACAAAAATATACAAAACTACTTAAAACAGAAATGCTTTAGAATGTGTACCGTGAACTCAAAACTTCACAGTGACTAGGGAAGGTAAAAGATCTCCTCAATGAAAAAAAAGCAAGAGAAAGTTTGGATTTAGAAAAATCAAGACAGTTGTTAAAGAAAAAGTTTAAGTCAACATTGATTTTTTTTCCCTATAGTCCTGGGGATTAAACCCAGGGCCTCACACTTGCAAGACAAGCACTATACCACTGAGCTACACTCCAAGTCCTTATCTCTCATTAAAATGGGATTCATAATGTCTTCTTGGCCAGCTCTTTTTAAGGTTTAGAAGAATGCACATGCCAGACCATAAATGGTGGCTACTATGGCTTTGTCTCAGAGTTACTTTACCACTTAATTCTTATTTGGTTTCTAGATTCTTTTCTTTCCTTTTCAAAAAAAAAGTTTCAGTGAGATCTTTATAAGATAGATTCCTCATCATTGTGCTATAAAAATTATTAACAGTCTGTACAATGGCAATAATGATTTTAAAATCAACTTTTATTTTTCTTTTTATATGCTTACTTAAACCATAATTTTAATCATATAAATTTATGCCGTATCATGTGATAAATGAATACATGTATGCACTGTGTAACATTCAAAACAGGGTAGTTAACATTTCCATCTCAAACACTTAAATCATTTTTGAT